TCAAGGAGGAGACCGATATGCCGACGAATGGAAACTCGTCGTGCCCCAGGAAGAACGCAAGGTGGTGCTGTTTGAAAATCACGACCTAGAGACGGCAGGGCACTTGGGACGCGAGAAGACCTTCGCCCGCGTCGCCCAGTCCTATTACTGGCCGGGAATGTACGCAGATGTGAAAGGATACGTCCGAAAGTGCCAGGTCTGCCAACAATGCAAGGTCGAGCAACGACCGCCGCGCGGGCTCATGCAGGACCGAACATGGTCTATGCCTTGGCAAGTGGTCGCGGGCGACATCGCCGGACCCTTTCCAAAGAGCCCACGAGGGCACGAATACGTCCTGGTATTCATTGACGTATTCACGCGATGGGTCGAATGTATACCCATACGTAGTGCTAACGGCAAGACGATAGTGAAGGAACTTCGGGAACGAGTAATCCTGCGTTTCGGCACGCCAAAGATCTTCTTGTCCGACAACGGCACCGAGTTCCGAAATCAGTTGGTGGACAGGTACCTGAGAGACCAGGGGGTAAAACGGACCTTCACCCCAACCTATACCCCACAGGCTAACCCTACGGAAAGGGTTAACCGTACCCTGAAGACGATGATAACGTCGTATCTGCAGGGGAATCATAGGGAATGGGACCGAGCGCTACCCGAACTCATGTTCGCGTTGAATACGGCCGTCCATAGTTCCACCGGGGTCAGTCCGGCCATGCTAAATTATGGCAGGCAACCGGAAGCCCCGAATACGCTCCGGAAACGAATGGACGAGCTCGCCGCACAAGAGGAGAGTTTGCTCCGAATCGGACAATGGAACGAACACATGAAAAAGAGCCGTTCCACCATTCAACAAGCTCACGAGAGCGCCTCGGGTGAGTCCCTGAGGCAGGCTAAGTACTACAACGCCAAACACAGGGACCACAGGTTCAAAGAAGGTGATTGGGTGTGGAAAAAGAACCGCGTACTGTCCTGCGCGGCACAGGGCATTTCCGCGAAGTTAGCACCCAAGTTCATCGGCCCCTTTATCGTCACAAAGGTACTCGGCGCCAACTCATATCGCCTCGCCAACCAACAGGAAGAGGTCACAGAGCTAATACATGCTAAGGACCTCAAACCCTATTATGGACGAGACGACGACATACCGGCGAATGGGCCTCGAACGCGAGATGACGACGAGACCTCTACCACCGAGGGAGTCGAGGCGATGAGCGTCCCGCCTAACGCGAGCGATACATCGATACACGGAAACGGGAGCGCCAACACCTCAGATAATACACTCCGAAATGACGACGCGACAACTCCGAAATCACCTCGCCGTACTCGCCGTAATTGCCCCAGCCGAGTCCCACTAGATACCCCTCCTACTAACCCGACGAAGCGCCCACGAGGAAGACCTCGTAAGTCCGCGCGAACTACACACACCACACAACATCGACAAACAACTCGAGCCCCTCCTCCCATCATCGCGAAGAGGAAGAGGGGCAGACCACCGAAAGCGACAACCGTGGATGCATGATACACGGCGAACGAAGGACCTGGGAGACCGACGCTAAGGACCCCACCTTCGATTCCGGCGACGAAGGCCCTGGGCAGCCGAACAGGCGCCCACCTTCGATATTTAAAGTTGTTTGTAGGATACTAACTCGCCGGACATTTACAGGATGCAGATCACCCTCGATCAATTCGAGCAGGCGGCAGCCGCCCTCATCGGCCTGGACCTAGGTCCCGCCGTCGAGGGGGTGGTACATGCCGCGCTCCACCTACTCGCCCAGAAAAAGGAGGAAGAGGAGCGAGCACGGGTGCGAGCTCACGAGAGCTCGTCATCCGTGCTCATAGAAGAGCTCCTGGATGAGGAAAACCCCACGACGCCGGCAACGACACCCGGCATCACGCGCAGCGACGCCGCACCACCATCCGGACCACCAAAGGGGCCCATCCCTATGAGGGTTCCCACCGTATCGGTGGGCACCCAAACGGAAGAGGGCGCCCCCGACGCGAGCTGGTCCCCCAGGTTCCCGAGCCAGGCACCACCTTCTGGCAAAAGGACCTGGGAGGACATTGTTGAGGGCTTGAGGGAGGTCGAGCGAGGATGGACGACCCTCAACGCCCTCCAGCGGGCTGTGTACGCGGAATATGATGCGTACACAGCCGCGGGACACCACCCAGTAGATCTTGACCACTGGGAGAGAGTGGTGTCCCGCCGTCGCCAGTTCGCGTCGGCCCTAAGAGAGGTGCAACAACGCCTCCGCCAGGCCCACGAGGGCCCGGCGAGTGGCGACACCAACAGCCTCCCCCAGTCTCCGGCTGCCGGGATCAGAACAACGGCTCCGGAAACCAGGTCGGAGATGACGCCGCACCAGGGTTCACAAGAAGGCGGGGTAACCCTGGTGGTCAACGTGGACGGGAGCCAAAGCGGTCAGGCAACGGGGCCCATCCACATTAATGTGGTCCTGGGCTCCTCGGGTGCGGATTCCACGGTCGAAAGGCCATTGTGGTCCGCCCCGAACCGTAGGAACGGGTTGCCTCTGACCCCCCGTGAGCGAGGGCTCCCACGGGGCACCCTCTCCCGCGCTCAATGGGAGGGGTGCAACGTGTGCCACTACCCCGGGGTGACCCGTACGGACCGCTGCCCGCGCGTGCGGCAACACGCCGACCTGGTCCAGGAGAGACTGGGGTGGGAGGCACGCGGCAGACCTCCATTGGACGACCAGGGCCAGGAGATACAACCAAGGCCAGCTAGGTGATGATGTCCTGCCCCCGTGGGCAGGACCACCGATACATCGCCCTGTCGTCCAATAAAGATAGATTTGACATTACTCGAACTATGATCCTTTATTATCCTTCCCCACCTCCTCCTCGGAAAGTACGGCGCTAACGGGATCATCGTCAAGGACCCTATAGGTCCAGACTGGAAGGGGGCTGTGACGGTAATCGTCAAGTTAGCGCTAATCATTTAACCTTATTGTTGTCCGTGAGGGCAGCACCTCCCAGGGGGGACAAAAACATGTAACGAAGGAATTCGGCACGCGAGCAGACGGAACGCGCGCGACAAGATTCGAACGAGTGAAGCATCAACCTTTGTTGTGTCCGCCCGTTTCGCTATCGTATCGCCGCTGATCCACGTGCCTTCGCTGACCGTACATCAGATCGACGAGAGGACCACAGCAGATACAGCCGTGATAACCGCCATCCAGGAGCCAGACGTCCGATCACCTGAGGCCAGGACGAGTGAACGAGTGTGTGTATGAGGTTTCGCCATCGAGGGCGAAACCATAACGTGCGCGCGTTCGCGACCGGCAACAAAAACAATACAATTAACTGTTCCGTGCTGTGCAACCCGTCATAGTGTTCTCCGGTCGCAGATAAGTAAGGTAAGCTGGCCAGCTTAATTACGCGTTCGGAATTACATGAATGAATAATAACTCGATGCTAACATTCGATGCGTGTATATAACGGCTCTAGCGACAAAGAGCAGCGAGCGTACCGGCAAAGCGTGTTGCCGATGAGCGAGCGTGTATGTAAACAAACGCGCGGGCCGACCTTTTGTGAGTTTTGAGGAAACAATAAAAGATCTGATTTAGCTTACTAACAAGTGTTTTCGTTAATTCTCTCATTTCTCATAGCTTCTACTCAATTCCGAATAGGTTATTAATGATTACAGGTTGACTGAGGCATACTTTCTCGTGCTCCCCGAATTCGTATTGAGCATTGATAGATACGCGTGTCCTTTCGAATATAATTACGCGATTTAATTAATTAAACGGTTATACCCCGTTACACACCATAGTTGGCATGAATTTAATATGAATTGATTGATTAAATCGTAATAACCTCAAAATAATGACCGACTGATATCTTGATAGAGACATTAATTGAACTTTGCTTTATACGAAAGTTTAGCTTTAAATAAACAAAGTAGATAGTAAAAGATATAATATATTGTACAGTGATTTTAGCTTTACTGAGTTATATCAAATATTTAAAAATATTTTGAAAAGGTACTAATTACAACCGTGAACGTACTATACCAAATTATGTTATTTATATCGTATAAGATATAATTATAGAAAACAATAATGTTTTTAAATAATTAACCATATTATTACTCTCAATTATATTATATATAATATCATATTATAATGTTTTTAGAAATTCTAATACCATTTATTTTTCCGCCTTTTTCAAACTTTTGAACGATGATTTTTCAACACAAAACTTAAGATGATAAAAACTTAAAACTTTATTGATAAAATTTTTAAATTATGAGTGTCAACGTAACTGTATACTTATTTACTAATAAATAATATCGTCAGCTATATCTCATATCAAATCTAGGGTATACAATGCATATTGACTTTTCGAATGCTCAATTTCGCCAATAAAAGTTTTGATCTATATTCGTACATTAAAATAAATGCAAAAAAAGTCGAAAAAGATGAGCGCACAAAGTTAAACATGAACGAAGCTAAACATGACTAGTTATAGTAAATTAGAACACACACAAACATTGATACTATTGTCATTCAGTTATTATTGACTTAGATCAACTTGTTGTTTTCTATCCCTACTGTTGTTGATAAATACTACTTTTATTATCTACATTATTCAAGCTAAAATACAAAATATCATAAATTTAATTTAATATAATTTAGTTATTATTAAAAAAGAAGTAATTTTTAGTTGTTTGAAATAAGAAGGTTCGCAATAAAATTGCACCAAATCACGCGTACAGTATATACGCATAAAATTACTGTTCAGAGCAAATTCAACTGATTGAAGTTCGAATTATCGAAATTTCACTGTGTATGACATATCTGTATTAAAATTAAAAAAAATAAAGTGTTTGCAATTCAATTAGCAGGTCGTAGTTTGCGTCATCGTTGCATAATTAGTTAGAGGCATATTGGTGTATAAATCTTGAGAAAAATTAGAAATGACTTGTAGGAATTGAGAAATAAGTAAATCACCCGGTAATAAATGAAACTTTATATTTGCTTTTTCAGAATGTTGATGTGTCTGGTGGGTAATCCACGAGAACTTACCGAGAAATTAGCTTGGCTGGCGCCACTTGTCGAGCGCATGGCTGCTTACGAGAATTGCCTGGCGACGCTCAATCACCGTGGTGAAGACGCCCTTTATCTTGCGGCCATGAACTGCCCGCAGATGGCCTTCGTTGCGGGATATCTGGCAGCTGCTTTTCTGCAGAAAAAAATCGACGTTGGTCAAAGACTTTATCACTCCAGAGTAAGTCTTTCTGTTCTTGACTATCGTTCTACCTTTTCGCTAAGTAGCTTACAGTCTTTGGCAAATCGATTCGATAGCTTAGTAGACGAAAGTAACCGAGATCAGTTTAATTATTAATTACTGTACTGTTTGAAATTAAAAGTGATAAAAAAAATCGGTTTCTTAAAAAATTGTACTTCTAGTATTTTCGTCCCATTTGAAATCATAAAAAAATAAAATTATTTAATTGCATTAAATAGGATATTTTTCACGAAAAAAATAATCTTAATAATTAATTAATATTTATGAAACACAGAAGAAATCTGTAGCTCATTTCTACTGATGACCGAAAACGTAACAGATATCTGTGGAATTTTCCAAGAATTAAAGATTTTATCTCCATACTTTCATTTTTTTAACAAGTACATAATCTTTGAAAGTTTTATTAAAATTCCAGAGAGGAAAGTTTCAAGTAATAAATATGTTGGCTAAGTTGTCAAATCAATCGCAATATTTTCCATAATATCTTTTCAAAGATTACTGAGAACGGTGAAACCTATGATATCACAAATACGACGTGAATTTGATTTTTTGATAGTAGTTTTTGCATTGCTTAATGATAAACAGTAGACATTTACTCTATTGCTAATATGAACAGCTTCTGTTATATATTTTTGAGTACATTTCAAAAAAAATAAGAAAAAAATTATTTTCAAAATCGTAAAAGCAAAGAAAGATTAACACACGTATTATAAATTAACTAATTTATCTTTGCTGAATAAACAATTCGATAATTCACTTAAGCAAGTTCTGTACTATTTTGCATAACGCAAATAACATTATGTTTTATTCAGGGGGACACAATCGTTCACGCGCTGGCAGCAAAAGGCGATGCTCATGGCGAAGTACTTGCCGAACTACTTTCACTCAAAACAGCTCAGGGGAATTCGATGTTCGATCTTTCAAAGCGTAATTATGAAGGTGAGTGGATGCCTTAACGCTTGTACTTTACATATTGCTATTTACTTGTATAAAAGCAAACATAAGAAGAGATATATAAACTGAGTGAATGTATTTTTGGTATCTTTAGGTGATGATCTTAAAACGCTTTTAATAAGTGACTGATTTTTTTCTTATCACTTTACAGGTAGAACAGCTCTTCACGTAGCAGTCGAGGTACATGAATCTTCAGTGAGAAATGAAAAGACAATATCGATAGGCACAGTTCGTCTATTAATGGAAAACGGGGCTGATCCTTTAGTGCGAGAAGTTAGATGTGGTGATACTGCGTTACATCTGGCTGTGTCGTTAAGCGCTGATCCAGCTCTTGTTAAAGTGTGTTTTTTTTTGTTTTCTTGAACTTACAGTTTTTACATAACAAAAAATATTCTATGATTTCATTAAACAGATGTTGCTGATTGGTAGAGGACACGAAGCAGTGAATGTGTCAAACTATAATGGCAACACACCTATGCACGTGATTGCAGCCATGTCCGAGCGTACGACACTTGACCGTCAAATGGAGGTTTGCTACGCACTGATACACGCAGGTGCTCGAACAAACATAACCAATCGTCAAGGCAAAACCGCTTTAGCTCTTGTATCTCCAGATCGAAAAGATATACTCAGGCGTATTTTTCATAAGAAGAGTTAGAAAAGAGAGCGATAACTTTTCTGTAAAAATTAGTAAATAATGTTCAAGACAGATCCACGTATATTTTAATAGGACAAAACGCTAGTAGTTTGATGATAATATAACTCATTTGATTTTGTGAATCAACTTAAGCCATAATAGTCCTTTTACAGTCAGATTTTTATTATTAAGAATAAATGCATCGAGTCAATGCGTACTATCAGAATGTTTTAGCTGTACTTACTAAACTATTAAATATATATTTCAAAATACATTTAATGGTCGAAAGATTCGCATTGGACAATGTTCAATTTCAACATTTATAGCGTTAAAACAATAAATACGTAGATTAGATTATGAATCTATGCGATATATAAGCGATACAAATTTCAAAGATATTTTTGACAAAAAAGTGGCTTAGATACGTTTTGTAAGAGATTATCAACAAAGATATTTTATAATTAGGGTTTTAACGTAATTTTTATATTGATAATGTGGCTGGGCTGGTTTTAATTGTTGTCATAAAAACATAATTTTTAAAAACATCATTTTTCATTCTACAATTTATGGATACATGCATACGTGCTATTCCTGAAAAGCTTTAATTTTCATTTTACGAAATATATTCAAATAAGTGAGTAATAACATATAATATACATGTATAGTTTGTTTTATAAGATATATCTCTTAATATAAATTAATTTCAGTGTTATGCATACGTAAATCGGAATGCATAATTCGCTGAGAATGTTCTTCAATGTAATATTGTATGTTATTTTGTTATGTATGAATCCGAATGCATATATAATTGCACACATGGATACAGATATATTTGTGCAACTATATTGTTATAAATAGTACATAAATAGTAAATACTTATATGTTACATAATGTTTTAATAATATAACTTTTACGTGAGTGAATATTACGCTCCAATCTCAAGAATAAACACAGGGTCGAAGTTTTTTGTGATAATATATGCTTGCATATATCATTTTTACCAATTGTTTTGTACAAATTATATTCTATACGTATGTACGCTTCAAGCTCATGTATTATTTGTACATAAACAACACTTCATAATATTTATATCTATGTCTTATTTTTCCTACATTTCTTTATTTTTCAATATTTTTTTATCGTGTATTTTATGCTACAGAGGCTGAAAAATATCATTTTATATTTTCACTAAAATGCTCGATCGGTAACTGTAATTTCGACCTCTCTGTAAAGTATCGCGTATATCTTTCAAATAGTCATTTTTTATAACTCAGTTATTCATAAAGTACAATTTTTATATAATTATGTTCAATTATAATTACGGTACTAACGATCCTATAATAATTCAAACACGTAAAGGTGTTTTTCTTATGAAATTTATTCGGAAACTTAGGAAAATAAAAAAAACATGTTACTATTACATGCATGACTAGGAGTAATACTCGTCGCTTATTAATCGATTCAGAAATTATTCTTACTAATAATTTCAAAACATCTGTGTAAAGGCAAACATTAGAATTTTTATTTTTTCACGTGATTTTTAATTTATTGTCATCAAAGATATGCAAGTGTAATATATATAAATTTATCGTTACCAATACTAATAATAATTTCGAAAAATTACTTTGCAATAAAATATGCTGTTTTATTTTATAAATTTCTATCATTATATCATTTAAATATAGAAATTTTATACAATTTTACAATAAATGAATCTATATAAGTCTTTTTGAAACAATTACACAGGCCGACAAAAAAGAAGTACTGAACCAGAAACGAGACCTTGAATATCCATAGGATTTTTATGCAGTGAATTCAGCATCTGAATTAACCCAACACATCAGATGATTAAGATATTCCAACCTATAAGGGCGAAAAACACGATTTTTAGCTATATTCGTGGTTATCTAATACTATTAATAATTGTTTTTTTGACAAGAATAGCACCGTTTTAAAACAAAACTCTTACCCTACAACACCCTGCTTCCAAATCTTGTAAATCTTGTCTTTTCACTAAGATATCGAAGATTGAAATTTAATTATTTTTGATATTTCACTAGTACCTCGTTAGTTGAGGTTATAAACTCGCAGGTTAGAGGATTCGGGGGTTAAAAATATTGGGGTCTAGGAGCCCGACGTTATACGTTCCAAGAATATGTGGTCCGAAATTTGAGGATATGCGATATAACTTCATATAATGTTGACGACGCTAAAAATATGGTACGTAATGTCTCGGATAGTAAAACTATTTGAGCGGCCGGCCGCTTTCTCTTTCCTTAGTTTTTCCACGTTGACGCTACCTTTCTTTACCGCATGTGGTCAAGTTCGAATGGCTAGCGATAAAGAGACGTGGAAAACTTAAACCACATCGTTGTGTTGCCAATGCGTTACCGAAAATTGAGGCTTGATAGGAAAACGTGCGGGTTAATGTTTGGATTTACGTCCAAAAATATGCGCATAGTAAAAATTCCAGCTGTTCTTTAAGTTTAAGACGTTTTCACTGTTTTAAATCTGAAGTTGCGTACACAAATGTACACGGATAGGTTTATATTGGGATAACTGTATGGGCATGCGTAAATAAAATTTTAATTATAACAAGTATCCATGTGCGGGTGGATAAGTATGATGTGAGCGATGTAGACTCGAATTTGCTCTAACCCTTTCTCGCGAGTTCGAACAAGCGCATTGTACGTCGTTGCCTTAATGCTCTTCTAGTCAGCTTCGTGAATTGTTGATGACTTCCGAAGGCCTTTAGATCCCACGAGGAAATATTCCGAGCATCGCCGGTCACCCAGGTAAACTATAGACGAGTCTAGTCTACGAACCTGACCCGGTAAGGACTATTGATAAGTCTAGCCCTAGGCCGTTAGGCGAAACCAAACAGGTTGCATACGATCGAGGCCCAGCGTTGATTTCCCTCTTCATAACATTTTTCCGGACCAGGAATAGCGTTTTTTTGCATTTGGAGATTATTAACTTTCAGATTCTGAAGGAGTTTTAACATTTAATATGGATTCTACGTCTCATAGAACATAAATATACTATATCGATTCATATTTTAATTTGTCAGGTTTTCGAGGTACTAGTGATATTTCGAAAATACTTAAACTACAATCTTCAATATCTCATTAAAAAAGAAAACGTACTAGATTTGGAAGCAGGATTTTGTAGGACGACAATTCTGCTTTGAAAGGGCGCAATCTAATTAAAAAAATATTATAATATTATATAGATAACCACGAATATAGCTAACAATCGTGTTTTTCGCACTTATAGGTTAGAATATCTCCAAAAATTGATATGTTGGGTTAATTCTAATGCCAGATTTGGATTGAGCGCGTAAAAATCTTTCGGGTACGCAAGGTTTCTCTGGTTCAGAAATATGTTGGTCTGTGTTATCGTAAGAAAATGTTACTATATCAAAAGTTCGTTATTCATATCAAAAATTAATTCGTTCATTCTTGAATGTGATCGTATAAAGGAAACGAGTAATATTTTAGATAAAATCTTGCGAGTAACATTTTCAATACGAAACGATTTTCATTGACACGCATTACTAGTTTTTAAATTTCGTTATAACTTTATTATCGATATTTATTACATAAATTATAAAAATAAAAAATTCTCTTAGTGAATTGTAAAACTAAGAATGTAAGCCCGTTAAATCATAGAGCAAAAAGAATACTTAACTAAACATGTTTTAAAAACACTTTGGATAGCAAATCATTCGTTATTAGCATTATTATCTCAAAAATCCTTTTCTCATCAACACGTGATATACTCATTTCTCATTTTGTCTCAAATTATATCCTTATGACCAGTTAATAATTCTTTTTTAAACGTATGCGGACGTACAACATTTGAACGAAGCCAATTGCAATCAATCACAAAAAATACGTAGCCGTCATTGAGTTGTACCCCCTTTGAAAGTAATTTCCCCCTTTAAAGCGCATAACCGCATGTATATATAACGGCGTCGTCATGAGTTGCAGCAAAAATCTATTTTTATTGCAGACAAAGCGCGAATTGTAAGCGCAAAGTGTGCCCACATGAAGGGATGGCACTGTCGCTCGAAATAGTTGGCATACCGTGCTGTAGGCGCGTTTTCACTGTCAAAATCCAGAGGAAGGACACAAGCCTTTGAACTGGGATTCGCACACCGGAAATTATATTTTTTTCTTAATTGGAACATTTTCAGGGCTTTCCGTGCACTTCTATGAATTTTGTCATCTCTTTTAATATTTATATTAACATTCAATACATATGCATCAAAGTTCTTATAATCGAAACAGATGAAATAATTATACGCTTAGAATATGCTAAAACCATTATATTTCATTAGCAAATAAATATATATCTAAGTGTAGTTTATGATAAGTAGATAAATTATTCAAATTTCAAAAACATTTAATATAGTAAAAGTTAATAACCTCTAATTTTCTTGATATGCCTTACTAAGCTATTTGTGCACCCCACAACTCTGCGACACATACACTTATGTACACACTCTGCTATCATAAAGCATGTGACCAACTCTTAGCCAATCAAAATGCTTTATGTCAGCAACAAAATCCAGACCATAATTTCTTTCAGAAAAGATTTTATTGAATGAATTTTAAAGTCACATATTGAATAAGTAGGATATAGTTAATGTCCGAAAGTAGTTGATAATATTTAGAACGATTTCAGATATCCAAGTGTTATTTTTTTTCTGGTTTTATTAATAATAACACAAAAAAAGAGATAAAAAAATAAAATCTTGATTCTACTTATGAAATAATTTCCTTTGACATAGAAATTGTAGATCAATGCAAATAATTGATTAAAATTGATAAATTGAATAAATGTACGGATTAAATAAATCTATAACAGAAAAAATAATCTTGAAAAAATCATTCATAATAATTTTTTGTCACATCCATTGAATTTTTTATTATATTTTCATCAATTTTTCAGGGTATCTCATCAATAAATTTAATAGCATCATCTGAAGTATCATTATATTCTAATTTTCGAACAATTTTCGACAATTCATCGTTGATAACATACTTTCATACGAAACTTAGCTTTCGTTGTGGTTTTTACGATAATGAAGTGTACTTTTATATCAATTTCATGAGGTAAGTCACTACCGTAGCTTCTGCACTGTTAGGAAAAGATATCAAAAGGTTTTCTACGTATACTAGGTGATCATCAGTATTAATACGATACGTTATATAATTTCGGTAAACCATCTAATGATTCATCATGTATTCATAACGTGCGTCGTTACCAGTATGAAGACAGTTCCACAAATTCATCAACGGTTATTTCATTCATGTTACATTGGCAGCTGACGGATACATTTTTCTAATATTATCTTATTTGACATTGGTTAAATTTTGTCATGCATGCTTAACATAAGCGACCTTAAATACTTGATAAGTTATATCAATAATTGAAATTTCTTTAAATTTTGAATAAGAACATCTGTCAATATAGAGATATAATTTTCTTCGAAATTGAATTTATAACCAAGATTATTCGAGAAAAAAAATCCCTTCCCCTGCTATTTCATCAAGCTCACTTAATATAGTTATAACTCCACATGATAAAACTTTTTTTTATCGCTGGCCGTTAAGTTCAGAAAGCCGTAGATTTTCGTTCTCAAGTTGGGATAGAGAAAGAGAGAGAGAAATAGATGATCCACCGTACGTGCCGTTGAAAATTTTCTGAGGGATTAGCCGCAGTGGAAGCTCTTAGTTAGCGAGTAGGAGAATCTCGTAAAATCTCGTCGGCGGAAAACGAGAGGCATGCCTGCTTCCGCTGTGCCGCGAGAAATTTCACGGGCTCTTCATGAACGTCAGCCACCCGCCCAGGCCATCATCTCAACGTGTATGTGTATATGCTGTTACTTTTTAGTTTTCCGCTGCGACTTTCCATTCTGACTCTTTAACCTCTTTGCGTGTAGCAATAAAGCTCATTGATCGAGCTTGTTTTACACACCCGACTATGCACAATATATAAATACAATTATTCTGCGGTTTTTTCTCCTTTCTGCATAATTTAAAGTACTAATTTTACACTATCAATGTCAACAACGACTCGAGCTTATCACTTAAAAGAATACAGCTAATATAAAGATATCAATTGCATTAATTTTTTTCAACCAGCCTAATTCGGCTCTTTTCAGTTCAATACGATAGAAATGATAAGTAGCGTCTCTTCACTAAAAATTTGATTGTCAAAGGTATTGAAAACACCAGCAATAGACTGCATCTCGACAGAATCCTCCAGTCAATCAGCATACGAAAGTTTTGCAATGGGATTATATTCTCCAAGAGTACGTACATACAAGCGGGAGCTGTTTGAGAACGACGAGATCTGTCTGAATGACCTGGCAAAATTAAGCTCAGTCGCTTACCCATGTCCGGTTGGGTTACCGAGATTTTTTTATAAGCCAGAGCTTGCTGCCGCTTGATTTTACCTAATTTCTGGGAATTTGAAATGACGGACCACGCGAAGGGCACCGACTGCTCCGAGTAATTAAACGAT